TCAACCTAGGGGGACAAATAAATACTTGCTATCTCTTTAAAAGTTTGTTCTACAGTCCCCAGAGACCGCAATTATCAGATCTTATCTAATAAATGTTTGAATTATCAATACAGTAAATTGATACAATATTGTCTAAGCATTATTAGCTAATTTACCACAGACATATTGGCTTTGATCATTGACAATAACAGATGCTATTTTCCAGAAGGCAGTCGAATGGGATGTAAATTTCAACGGGAGAATTAAATGTCATACTGATAACATATTATATAATAATTGTGTATTCATGCAGCTAAGTTTTATTACTCAAGGGTTTGTAGGGTTTGTGTGTAGACGTTTCAAACTATCATTCGTATTATCCTGTCTATTACCTAGAAAACAAAATATAGTCAAATAAATAATGGAAAACTTTCTATCATATATTTGGGAGGCGTTATGTATTCATAGTATAATAAAAAAAATTAACAAAAGAAAACTTAATTTTATCAACCTCGATTCACTCTCACTAGACGAGACGTTGAATAAATAGTGAACGAAGTTCCTTTTTAGACCTTGATATTAGATGTTCACGTAGTAATTTTCCTACCAAAACTTCAACCCGACGACTTTTATCTTCATATTGTAAATTTTCCTTTCCTTGATGTTGATGTTCCGATTGTTCCTTTTCATGGCGTGTTTATTTCTAAATTGCGTGTTTATGCAGTGACGACTTGGATTTCAATGCATGTGATTAGGAATGAATTAAACAGTAGAGAATTAGATATCAGAAATTGGACAACATGTGTAGGAGAATTAATGTTGATGTATGTAACCACATGCAGGAATTATAATTATAATTATAAGAAACATCTCCAGCGATTTCTTAACTTTTATACCCAGTTAAAGGCCTCATTGCGACTTTAATATAATTTATAGCAATACATGTGAAGTTCCTTTGCTTCGGATTTTGTCAATTTTTGTGTCTTAAATTAAGACACAACGCTCAATGATACCCTTTTAAACGATATCTGAAGAGCGCTAAAAGTAGGAAACAATTGTAAAACATTAAAAAAAAAAAAAAACAAAAAAAAAACAGAGATTTATAAATGCTTGGTGAGCTATTAAATCAAACGGGGATATAACATACCATCTGAGAAAACTACTTGAGGGAGTAACAACCTTACTTTTGGAAAAGGCAATAATCAAACATTTATCAAACTTCACATAATGCATAATAGTACGCATATACATTTGGGCAGTCAAACCCAATTAGTCAAAGATGGATGATTAAGATAATGGCCAAAAGAAATAAAAGGAAAAGATGGACAACATTGCACATAATCCAATACAGGAAACTAAAATATTGAGCAACACACATAAAAGGCGGAGGAATCGCTGATACTCCGAGAAATTTAGAAGTTCCTGTTTTTGTTTGAGCTTTTGAATTTGCCATTTGATAAGGAACTTTCCGTTTTGAATTTTCCTTGTAGTTCGGTATCTTTGTTATTTTACTTTTCTCTAGTGAAACACGTCGTGTTACTATCATAATAATCGAATAACAATTTACTAGTACATTCGGTTATAATGTATTATTTAAAATCGAATTAATAGATGCATATTGTTTTACTTTGAGACATTACAAATCTAACATACAAGATCAAATGGGGAAGTTTGAAATAAAAACATTTTTTTTCAGGTAAATGTTAGAAAAGACCCGTATATATTGAAATAGTCCAGGCTTTTAAAACTAGCCATCTCAACTTACAACATAGAAAACCTAGATCAAACCAAAACTAATCTCATGACAAATATGTGGTGAATTTAGGAACTGTGGAAGGATTAAAAGTTCTTGGTACAAATAGAACGGTCGTGCTGTCCATAACAATTTAAATCATAATAGTTATTATCGAGGAAAAGTAGTCAGAATTATGACAACAACAAATAAAACATTTTCGTTATCATTTCCGACGGTCAATCAAATTATACTGGCGTCTCCAAATATTTCGAAAAGATAACTTAACCGTTACAATAACGACTTCTCTACCAGGAAATACAAGCTTTGGGATATAGTATAAAATTACCTATATACATGAAGAAACAGCGCAATTGTAACTTAGTCTGTAAGAGTCTAGTATAAATCTGTTTCTCTTCCAATAATTTTCTGACGTATTCATGACCATCTAAAATCCAGGACTGTGGATGAATGTTTGAGTTTTCTTTTCTTAAACAATATTTGTTTCATATCTTTTGAGTACAAAATATTGGTATGAACGTAAAGAAACCGATATTTACCAAATGGATTGACAATCAGCTATATGTTATGTTAGCTGTGCAATTGTTAGTCTCAATGATAAGCTGATGAAATTGCAATCATTTTACAAGCAAGATAATCCAAAAATAAGATTTGATGAAATCGGTAATCACAGGTAATCGGTTCAAATAATATTTGAAAGTTATTTATAATTGAATAAATAGAAAGATATTTCTACAAATACTCTGATTTGCATCATGCTGTTGTTCAGCATGGGACAAAATAAAGACGATTGATTGTAGGTCACATTCAAATTATTTTCCAGAAGACTTGACGATAAAATTTAGGATTGAAAACGAAATTTAAGACAATGAGACGGACGGAACAATAAAAAAAACTCTACCTATAAGTGGTTTGGTGAATAGTGTAACCATCAGATACTTTATGCCCTCTAAGAAATATGAAACGACACAAATCAAATATTGTAAACATCACTTCACATTTTTGCCTTTTTCATCGATTTTATCGAAGTTATAGAAACAGATAGGCGAAATATATCAAAGGGATATTCAAACTCATAAGTTAACAACAAACTGACAATTCCATGGCAAAAAATGAAAAACGATCAACAGACAAACAGTATACAATCATAACATAGAAAACTAATGACTGAGCAACACGAACCCTACTAAAAACTGGGGTAATATCATGTGTTCCGGAAGGGCCTAGTATATAGATGTTTTTATTAAAAAAGGACTAATTTTATAAATCAGAACTGTGATTAAAGACCTTCCCTAGCGTTCAAACTAAACGTAGAGTACTTATGAAACTTAAGAAATGGTTAGAAAATAAAGTTTAACTTTCAAAAAAACAATTTTTATTATATTGCGATTTTTTTTATATATATTCTTTGTTTGCTTAAACTGAGATATAACTTATGCAATTATTTCATCAACAACAACAAAAAACAACAAAATGACAGTTATACTAAATTTTAGATTATATCAATAAAAACTTTCCTGATATGAAAGGTATTTATTTATGGGAATAATGATTCATTAAATCGTTGCATTTGGCAATGAACTAGCTTTCAGTAACTGCGATTACTCTTAGATCGGTAACTTGCGTCTAGAGTCTTTTTGTTAGTTGTTTTTGCTTTATGTCGATCTGATGAGTCAAGCCTTTTAAACTAATATTTGATAGATACGTTCATATGTTGTACTGTTCCATCAATGTCGATAGTTAGGGGAGAGTTGATCGCTTGTTGATATGTTAAAACCCCGTCACACTCTGTCTGTGCCTATCGAAAGCCAGGAGCCTGTAACTCCGAGGTTTTCGTTGGTCGCTATTCATCATAAAAAACGTATTAAAGATATCATATTTGTTTTTCGTTTAATTTGTTTTACATTTTGTCATTTTGGGGACTTTTATAGCTTACTTTATGTATGGGTTTTGCTCATTGTTGGAGGCCGTGCGGTAACCTATAATTGGTTACATTTACATCATTTGTTTCTGATTGGTATTTGTTTTATTGGCAATCAAATCACGTCTTCTTATGTAAGAACACATTAAAAACTAGACATGTTATGTATTGTCATTTCCATTTGATCTTTATTCATCTTCCAAATAAAAAAAAAACAACAATAAAAGGCTTCAGTTGAAAACTTCTGACCTGAATAGATAAATCTAGCCATTTTCAGATCAATAAGATATATATCAATCTCCTTTCAACCTTCACAATTAATGAAGAAGTCTTAATATTTCAATTAAATATTATTACAAGATAATATGTCTCCAATATGTTTGGACGTGATATGGCTAGTGTGTCAATTAAAATCCAATTTATCGTTTGCAAATCGACGTGAATAGAGTAGAACTGTACTCCCGTTGTAGTTTGGCATTTCAATATTGCCATTATGTTTTGAAACTAGTTTAAGTTGTCTTTAAAGCTTTAATTCGAACACCCACATGTAGCTTACAGAATGAGTCTAGGTCGATCTGGTAATGGTATTTGGAAATATATACTTTGTTTACGGAAAATTGAATTTATTAAAATCATCTATATTTGGTGAAAGTTTGATAGGAGGCAGAATATAAAATAATTAGAGGCAACATGCATATTATGAAATCTTCTTGATAATTTCACACTTTTATTGGATTTTATCTACTTCATATTTTGTTTTTTCAAAATTGTTTATGGATTTAAAACACAGGAACTGTTTAAAAAAATAAGACGAATGTGGCACAACACGTGTACTTTGATATTTATACTTATGTAGCAATGCTTTTAATTTTTGTTTTTTAATTTTTAAACTTGGAAACATCATTATTTCATTATGATTTCTTGGTTGTGTCTGTAGATCTGCTAGTGATACCAACAAATAATCATATTCCAAATCAACGCTACCTCTGATTATTTCAAAAATCAAATGCTTTATTGACAATGTCGGACATTTGTACTCTTGTAGAACACCTACTTTGTCATTTACAGACACAAATACATTGTACTAATATTATGTAAACAAAGGAGTTTAACCTCAAGTGCTCAAAATGCTTAAATAAGATCTGATTTAGATATTTAGGTAAGGCTACTGTTATAACGATTTTATATCAGAATAATCTTTAAAAACAGAACTTAATTCTACTAATCTAATAACTGCACAAGTACAAGAACAGTATAAAGCGTTTTGTCAATTTATCAAAGGTCAATGAGCATTTATTGGTCACCTGTCATGAAGTATTAAACATAACTTTTCTATTTTCAAATTAGGTGATTGGGCAGATGAAACGGCACCTGGTATATGTAGACGTCGTCAAAGACTACATACGTGGTATTTCCAACTTATGTAGGCCTTAACATTCAGTAAATCACGATTTCAAATCCAATTCAGAGAACATACGACAACTTACTGGCTGTTTAAATATCCGTTATTTGTATCACGGATTTGACATTCGCCTTTTGCTTCTAGGGAATAGCAAACACTTAACATGACTTTAACATATTACATGTATTTACAAGGATGTTAGAACAAAACTAAAATAAAAAACTATCATAATGAAACATATAAGCGATTCTCAGGACAATGTAATTACCTTTACAATACATTGACATTTGATTGTTCTTAATAGTGATTACGATTATATATAACACAATCTTTACTGTTGTACCCCCATTTTTGACATTTTTACCTAATATGTCTGTTGGGTTTGCTCACACATTGTTGTCAGTATAATGGAAAAGTTAGCTAGCTATAAAACCTGGTTTAATCCACCATTTTCTGCATAATGGAATTATATGCCAATGTCATAGAAGTGAGAGGCTTAACAAGCTATAAAACCAGGTTAAATCTATCATTTTCTACATAAGGAAATGCCCGTTCCTAGTCAGGAATATGACAGTTGTTTTCCATTCGTTTGATGTGTTTGAGCTTTTGATTTTGCCATTTGATTAGGGACTTTCTGTTTTGAATTTCTCTTGGAGTTACTTTTGTTATTTTACTTTTTGATACCCTGATATATCTTAGAAATAAAATTTGCTATCAAGGAAGTAATTGTTTATTCGATTAAATATATTGGATGAGGAACAATGTATACAAATTAGGGACAGAGCTGTAAATACACATGCAGAATATATAACAAACTCAAATATGACATAAATCCTCGTGTTATATCCTATAACTTAAAAAGGACCTGCAGGTACTTACTGCGTTATTCATCGAAAAACTGCTAAGAAGACTTAAAATCAAGCAATTGCCATTATCATGAAATGTATGTCTACGCCAACATTTTGTAACGAAATTAAATGTAATAAATTATTGTTATTGAGATATCAACAGAACATCCTTATAACTGTGTGCTCAGTAGAATCACTTTGTACAATATGCTCATGGTTTTGTTGTTGTGTATACTGGTATTTCAAATGCAGTTAAATAATAACTCAATGATATTCTATTTATAGTAACTTATTCCACACTGACCAATCAGCGCATCATTAAACATTCTTTTAAAACGAACGACCACAAGAATGGTGTTGGTTAAAATTGGTTGATATTTACACAGTAGTTAGTATAAGAATCTTAAGATATCAGTTTAAATAAGAACGGGTGTTTTGCGTTAGTACTGAATTTCAAATTGAAATGTGTTGATTTAAAAAACATATTTGTCGTATTGTTGTTTGCTACTCCTGGAGTTAAAAACGGAGTAATTTATTAACTCTCGTATATAAACTTTCTATATTGTAATTCTTATTATCTATTTAATCAAGTCCAAATTGTTTTTTTTTAATGTGGTATGTATTTTCCGTATTACCAATCTAATTCTTGTTTTCAATTTTGTCCTCGATTTCTCCCATTTCCTTTTCTTATGAAATTGAACTAATATTAATTTAACATTTTAAACTGAATGTTTTAAATACATTGTACAAGAAAAGAAATCAAATAGCCTTTTTATTCATAAGATGATATTCATAAAATGATATGTTAGTAAATGTTGTTTGATTAGATACATTTTGAATTATTTCGATATAATTCTTTTTGATAATAAATTTTCTGTTTAAACATCTTCTTTAGGATATCATAATACTATCTATATTCAAAATATGTTCCATTCTTAACTGAACAATTTAATTTTGTATTGTCACTATTTTAGTACAGCAGGTTCAAAAAGTGTGTGGCGTATAGAAATTATGTTACATTTGGAACTAATGATATAAATGAACTATTAATAATTGTTCCTTGTAGAATAGAATGCAATGGAACAACAGAAAACCTGCTAACGTAAAATACTGAGCACATTGAATAGATAAAAAACCTACGCATGGCAAATATTTGAAGGCTTATGCCAGAACTTGTTACATTTGATTTAACTTCTTATAACGCTGCTTGCTTAAAATATTGTAAACAAAACAATAAATGACTCACATTGATTTAGGTATATACAGGGTTGACACATATTTAGTGGTAGGAGTTATATTATCTAATAAATAAAATGGTGCATTTATAACTATGTAAGATCGAATGTTAATAATGTGTTTGTTACAAAAAATGTATATACCCAACCATGCATGGTGGTTGACCAGTTCTTTATTCTAATAACCACCTTTCCATATTTGTTATGTTATTTTAATACTTCATATTCGCCAATAACTCGCATCATAAAAATATTGCCCATCACTTAAATTTGTAAAAATATAATTTAGAAAAATGAGATATTTTCAATTTCTAGAGATTTTAGTAGTTTCATGTGCATGTTCCAATGTTTGCTTTAATGTTGCAGTCAATGTCGCATTTTATTTTTTTTTATCAAATATTACCAAATATATTAACATAACATTATGTTATTTTCTCCTATTATAGCACCTAAATACCATACATGCATACATTTACATAGTAAAAAAAGTAAAATAAAAAAATTACCGAACTCCAAGAAAATTCAAAACGAAAAGTCCCTTATCAAATGGCAAAATCAAAAGCTCAAACACATCAAACGAATGGAAAACAACTGGTCATATTCATGAGTTTGACTGTCCCTCTGGTATCTTTCGTCCCTCTTTCCTGACGTGACCAATTTTAGAAATTTGATTTAATTTCTTAGTGATACATGTACAATTTTTCTACTGTTATTTGTCATTGGCTTCATAATGACAATCAATTAGTGGTTTTACACTGATGTCATATTACTTTGTTATCGATGCCTAACATTTTCTTTAAAAAAAGTAGGTCAAGGTAGAGAAAAAAGGACTTGCTGAGCTAAACCTCCACAAAGACAGATGTTCCTGTTCATTAGCTTGTTCTTGTATATTTCTTTAAATGCTATATTAGGTTTCTTGCTTATCTTAACTAAATACTTTCGAGTATCAAGCAACACTGATGAGAAACTGTTAAAATGGTGTATGGTGTCTCAGATCAAATTCGGAATTTTTAATTTTGTCTCATCATTGAGATTTCCCTTGAATTGCTTGATTAATTATCAATATTTACACTTTTTTTTGATAGATTTCTTTATAATACTTTAACGAAACTTGTTAATATCTAGTATCTCACATTTCAATTTATAACCGAACTATATCGGACATGTGCTTGTTAGGAAACTTAAAAAGTCACAGCTCCTTCAAGTAAATTTGTACCATATATTTGAATTAGTCAAAACAATTTCAAGATTGTTGTTGTTATTTTTTTTATCTAAATATGACTTGAAAGTCTCTGAGATTAGAACATCCCCACTAGCATTTGTTTATGTTTCATTCTTTGACAATTGGCGATATTTTCTCACAAAACTATGACAGTAACATTTTGTTCATCAAATTTCAGATAATGAATAGCACAAACAGCCACATTTGCAAAATTGAAAATATCCTATTTTTCAATTGTGTTTGAATAAAAAGTATAAATAGCAATTTGTTTGGGTTAGAGCTGCTTCTAAAGCGTGTTATTTTGCATAAAGTTTAACTTAGATGCAAAAAAACTCGTTTTTGAAATTGACCAGAGTGAAAAACATCTAAATTTTAAATTTGTCGATGTTAGTAAGGAAGTAGTTTGTTGCTATTGAAAAAATATAAATCAATTGCATGTAATGTAAATTCAATAACAAAATGATAATTTCGCCTTTCAAATAATTTACCAGGCTTTAACTCATAAATCCCGTTATTTCTAAGCAATATATTTCAGACAAAATCCAATCATGAATGAAAAATAAATTAAAAATTCTGTAATCGTACTACAGTACGATACAAAAAGAGCAAAATACATGTAACGGATACAATAATTTGTATTCGGAACATCATATTTCTAGATAAAATCAGGATGCAAAGGGTCGATTGAATTTGCGTTGGTCATGATTTATGAAAGCTTTTATCCTACCTATTTTAAAGTTTACATTTCCCGATAAAACATGGAAAATTTTATTTGATTAACTGTATTATATTTGTTTAATTACATTAAACCATAAAACTAACAAAATCATTAAAACACACTAATATCATCGAAATATCCGAAGGAAACTACAGAACTGAAAAATATTATCTAACAAATTGAACTAAGGATAGTCCTACAAGATTATTATAGTACTCATAATTTAACAGATATAATAAGGAGATATATCATAATTGACTAAAAGTACCGCGTACCTGTACTTTTAAGGACTGATATTGCTGCTGTAAGAAAGCATACATCGATTGATATCAGTTCCAAATTGAGTAAGTGCAAGCAAATATGTCTCACATTTAACTTTTATTCATATTATCATGATATTGTTTGAATAAAGGTTTTGTGCCATCATGTACCATAACTGACCTGGTAACTCTGATAGCAGTAATTATACAACATTATCTTTCTGCACTGAGATACACCATTTGATATTAAGTAATGTGACTGAACCAATTAAGTTCAAGTACAGATGAATTATCATGATCGATTCAAATAATAACATAATGACAGAATCAATGGAATACAATGGATATTTGCAGATGTAGTTCATCATTCCACAGCAGACTTATTAAACATTATACGACAGAAATTCTCGAGTTTAAACAAAGTAAAACATTTATCTAGTCCTGGATAGATCGGAATGGAAAAGCGTTGGCTACTTGATAGAATCCTACTGCTGTCACAGCGTCATTTGTGTTCTTAAAGACCCTAACAATTAGTTTGGCCTATTTCCGAACATGTTACTGTATACATAACTAAATATGGCTAAGACCTAGTAATTTAATCTAAATTAGCCAATGTTCAGTAAGTTTTTACAAAATGAGTTATAAAAGGGAATAGTAATTTACGATATCGCATTTATCAGAGGTAAGCTTCTACAGAGTAAGCGTCCCTGCTATGCAGTCATCGCTCTCCATGCGAATCCAGATTCAGACCTTGCGGTAAAGTTTCAGATCAGAGGATTATTCCGCTGTAGCAAGAAGGTCATTCTCAACATTAATCAATATTATATAGATGATACAGCTTTGTATTGTCCTTTAACATGTTTAAGATACAAAATTTTATCAATTTTGGTTAAGGTTATCCTTCGATGTAAATTTCTAAACAAAAAGATTGAAATTTGATGCGTTGTATCTTTGTTTTAAATTTT